TTGGCATTTGTTTTTTAGGGATTGGCTAGCTTCACTTAGCATAATCTGCTCTAATGCCATCCATTTCCCTGTAAATTCTATGATTTTGTCATTTTTTAATGCAGAGTAATACTCCATTGTGTATAAATGCCACATTTTTTTTATCCATTCGTCTATTGAAGGGCATCTAGGTTGCTTCCACAGTCTTGCTATTGTGAATTGTGCTGCTATGAACATCAATGTAGCAGTGTCCCTGTAGCATGCTCTTTTTAGGTCTTTAGGGAATAGACCGAGAAGGGGAATAGCTGGGTCAAATGGTGGCTCCATTCCCAGCTTTCCAAGAAATCTCCATACTGCTTTCCAAATTGGCTGCACCAATTTGCAGTCCCACCAGCAATGTACAAGTGTACCCTTTTCCCCACATCCTCGCCAGCACTTGTTGTTGTTTGACTTCATAATGGCTGCCAATCTTACTGGAGTGAGATGGTATCTTAGGGTGGTTTTGATTTGCATTTCTCTGACTGCTAGAGATGGTGAGCATTTTTTCATGTACTTATTGATTGATTGTATGTCCTCCTCTGAGAAGTGTCTGTTCAGGTCCTTGGCCCTCTGGTAATATTTTTTGTCTGATATTAATACAGCTGCTCCATTTTTCTTGTGTTTAGTACTTGAATGGCATGTCCTTATATTTAAACTAAGTTTCTTGTAGACCACATGGTTACACTTTGTTTTACAACAAATCTGGCAATTTCTATCTTTTTAATTGCAGTGTTTGGACCATTTATCTTTAATGTAATTATCAATGCACTGGGTTTAAATCTACTAACTTGCCTTTTGTTTTTTTTGTCCCATCTATTTTTCATTCCTTTTTCTCTATCTTCTTTTGGATCATTTGGGTACTTTTTTTTGGGGGGGGGCAGGCACACTGGGGATTGCACCCAGGGGTTCTTTATCACTAAGCCACATTCCAGCCCCTCTTAAAATTTTTTATTTAGAGACAGGGTGTCAAAGTTGCTTAGGGGTTCGATAAGTGGCTGAAGCTGGCTTTGAGCTTGTAATCCTCCTGCCTCAACCTCCTGAGTCACTGGGATTATAGGCGTATGCCACCATGTCTGGCCGTTTGGGTACTTTTTACAATTTTATCACCATCATTGGCTTATTAACTACATTTTCTTATTTATTTAACTTCATTTTCTTATTTATTTATTTATTTTTAGTGATTGTTCCATGATAGGGGCTGGCACACAATGGCACACAGGCCAAATCTGACTCACTGTTTTTGTAAATAAGGTTTTATTGAAACATGTAACCACCATCCATTTGTTTATCTATTGTCTATGGATGCTTTCATGCCATAACAGCAGATTTGGATAACTATAAAAAACTATATAACCTGCAAAACCTAAAATATTTACCATCTGAACATGTACAGAATAAGTTTGCTGACCACTGCTCTAAAACTTGAAAATTAAGATCTTGAAACAAATTGCATAATTGTACTCCAAATACAAAGTGTCTCAAACACTGACTTAGAAAGTCTATCCTCAGGAGATATCAAAGTCAATTCCTCAGATAATTACTCACATTGTTTTCCTGGTTCTTGTTATTTTTCAAGAGTGTGATAATACAATTATGAATAAAGAAAGCAAGAGTAAGCACTCCAGTCAGCTGTGGGAACTGATATCTTATCTCTAGGAGAAAAAGAGACAGAAACAAAAAAGTTAAAACTGACAAGAAGAAAATGAGTATCAGTAGTCAATAAAAATCAGTTGTCTCTGTTTTGTCCAGGGAATAAGAATATTAAAATGTCTTTACAATGTTCCCAAGGTCAGTACTATACTCAAGCAAAGGAAGGAAAAGAATCAAGAAATGTCTATTCTGGGGCTAGGTTGTGGCTCAGCGGTAAAGCACTCGCCTAGCACGTGCAAGGCCCTGGGTTCGATCCTCAGCACCACGTAAATAAAATAAAGATACTGTGTCCAACTACAACTAAAAAATAAATATTAAAAATAAATAAAATAAAATAAACTTAAAATAAAAAGAAATATCTATTCTGTATAGGTACTTTATATCAATTATTCCTGATTGAAGTCACATGACTATTATATAGCTGAGCAGAATTCAAATTCAGGGTCTGACTCTAAAATCCTCTATTTTTCTAAGATCTGAATTTGCCAGAAAATTACTTCTAGAAAAGGATGGAGAATAAAAATGATCATTTAATATTTTTTGATGATGTCTAAAAAGCAATACTTAAGCTGGACAAGGTGGTGCATTCTTGTAATCCCAGTGATTTGGGAGTCTGAGACAGGAAGATAGCAAGTTTGAGGTAAGCTTCAGCAAAATAAAAACTAAAAACTTTAAAAAAAAAAAAAAAAAAAGGGACTAGGAATGTGGCTCCATGGGAGAGTATCCCAGGGTTCAATGACTAGTACTGGAGTTGCATTGGGAGGATTGCTTAAGTTTTAGAAATAAATGTCTGCTTAGAGGGGACTGATTAGACTATGATAGAGTTGTACAGTGGTATACAATATTTAAAAATTATGTTGTTGAGGAAGATTTTTTTGTGGATTTATTTTTATTTTAAAAAATACATGTGTGAGGCTGGGGTTGTAGCTCAGTGGTAGAGTGCTTGCTTAGCATGTGTGAGGCACCGGGTTCCATTAGCACCACATAAAAATAAATAAATAAAATACAGGCATAAAATACAATAACATTAAGGGGCTGGGGTTGTGGCTCAGTGTAAGAGTGCTTGCCTAGCATGTGTGAGGCACTGGGTTCGATTCTAGTACCATATATAAATAAATGAATAAAATAAAGATCTATCAACAGCTAAAAAAAATTTTTAAAAAATTAAAAAAATACAAAAATGTACAGATGTATGGGCAAAGGAAGGATAAGAACCAAGAAATGTCTATTCTGTATAGGTATTCTGTTTTTGTAAATAAGGTTTTAAAACTTTGCTGTGACAGCTGTGGGTATACTACTCAGATCTCTTTTTGAGTGAGAATCGGAAACAAGAAATACAGTTAGCTGATGGCCTAAAGCTGCATGCCCTCATGGATCTGCTGCCCTGATCACGCACCAGTCATATTTTACTGGGCCTCGCTGAGCCAACAACTGAGCACAGCAGAGTACTAGGGCCTGACCACTTTTGCCTAATCCTGGATTTCTACACTGGTAATCTTTAACCAGAGGTTCACATTTGGGTTGTCTAAGACTTTCTGAATCTATTTCTGCTCAGTCCATCTCCTTTCCTTCTCTCCTTTCATAGAGCTCTGAGTCACACTGTGGTCCTACTAGTCACCTATGTCTCCTGCTCCCCTTCCCCAATCCCTTTATCTTTCATTAAGGGCTACCACAATAAATTTCTTATACTTCTCACTCCATATCTGTGTTTGCTCGTAAGAGAACCTGAACTGACAAGAGTTGGTATTGGAAGTGATGTGACAAAGAGGGCAGTAAGAAGGGATTTGGGTCTTGGATCAATTATTCAACTTTCAGTTATCATCCATGCTGACCTCATGCTATCTTCCAAGGTTCTCAGAGTGTTTTCACTATCATTATTTTGAGGGATACCGTGTTAACTTAGAGAGTGGATAAATGAGGCTATGGTACTTCTGACCTTTTCCTTCTTTTTGGTATTATTGGACTGCAGCAGTTCTATTATGAGTTCTGTTTATGGGCAGGGAATTACAGGACTATCTTTCTTTAAGTCTCCTGAAGACAGAAGCCCATCTTCCAAGTAAGGAGGAAGGACAGTCTTATAGCTGGCCTCCAAAGTTATTTTTAGTTTTAAAAGAGAAGGCTTTTTGTGCTGGGACGTTGGCTCAGTGGTAGAGAGCTTGCCTAGCATGCGTGAGGCACTGGGTTTGATTCTCAGCACCACATACAAATAAATAAAATAAAAAATTTCATCAACAACTAATAAAAATATTTTTTTTAAAAAGAAGGCTTTTCATGATTGAGCTTTTGCCTTTTAGCGCTTCCTTTTTCCCTATTACTTCCTCAGCAAATATTCTTTCACTAGCCATTCAAATCCTCATATTTCCTAAATAAGTCATGTTATTTCAGGCCTTAACTGTTGCTTGAACATGTTGTTCCCATGACCTGGCATATTCCTGTCCCCCAGTTCTTCTCTTAGAGAACTCCTGTTGGCTAGCCCTTTAAAAAATTCCCTTTTGAACCCTTTTCTGACCCCTAACTTATTTATAAGCAATTCTTCTATCCTGTTACATCTACTGTGCATATCTTTGTATTATGATTGTTAATTCACAACAATTAATTGATCTTAATGCTCAGCTGTAGTCTCATGGAGGGCAGTGGATCCTCTCTATTATTACAGTTTGTCAAGTATTAGGGGTACTCATTTATTCTTAAGAACTGAAGGACTCTCAGCCATGAGAAATGTCCAAATTCTATTTTAAACTGCTTTTACAATGATTTTGATTTTTGCTAAGATTTATCAGTTTTCAATACACTCTTTTTCAATTTAGCTGACCTTGTCTTTCAGAGCAGCCAGCCTCTATGACTTCTAAGTCATCTTGTGAAGTATTTGTTAGTTGGTCCTTTGCCACCTTTTCTAATTAATTCAGATGATATCACTTCTATGTTTCTAACTTGTCAAATTACAGTGGTAAATATCCAGCTTTTTGCAATTAACTAAACAAATCACTTTTCAAATAAATTTCTTGAAAACCTGAGATTCTCTTAAGTATACATTTCACTCAAATGAAGTATACAATTAAATAGTTTTTAATGTGTTGACTGAGTTGTGCAATCATAACCATAGCACTTCCTTTCTATTGTACGGATATACAAATAATAGTCCATTGTATGGATATACCACACTTTATTCATTCATCATTGAAGGACATGGGATCATTTCCACTTTTGGCTATTATGAAAAATGCTGCTATGAACATCCATGTACAAATTTTTGTGTAGAAAACATGCCTCTTTAAAGAAAACAACATTTACATTATAATAAATTAAACTAGTAGGTTCTTCAACAAAGTGGTTTTAAAGAAGCCCCAAACATCTGATCTTTACAAACTGTTTATTTTATCCCTTTGGAAAAGCATATCAAGAGAGAATGTAAGCAGGGGTTGGGGACGTCGTAGCTCAGTGACAGAATGCTTGCCTAGGATGCGCAAGGCCCTGGGTTTGATTTCAAACTCTGTGGGGGCGGGGTGGTGGGAAGTGGGAGGGAGAATTAATATGGGTGCATGCAGATAGGGAAAAGATAATTGCCATATGCAGAATGTATAAAGAACTTGTATAGATTAATAAGAAAACCCCAGACAACTAAATAGGGAAATGAGCAAAGTCTTGAAAAGGTACCTCACAAAAGAGGAAATCCAAATAGCCAATGAACATATGAAAAGGTGCTAACTTCGTTAGTCATCAGGGAAATGCAAATGAAAACCACAAAGTAATATCAGCACTTGCCCACCAGAAAGGGTAGATGAAAAACACAGAAAATAAAGAATTAGTGAAGAGTGAAACAACTAGAACTCCCAAACACTGCTGGTGGGAATGTCAATTGGTACAAGCACTTTGGAAAACTGGTTGGCAGTATCTACTAAAGCAGAACATACACATACCCTGTGACCTATCAACTCTACTCCTCCACTGGTACTCAAAGCAGCCCTATGTTCACCAAGACTCAGATGAGAATGAAGAGTGCAGCAATAAACCTGACAGTTAAAAACTGGTAAAACATAAACTGTGGTAGACAAGCAATGAAATATCAATGAGAATGAACTATAAGTATGTGCACTAACAGGACTCACTCTCACAAATAACCAGACCTCAAACAATAATACTGTATATTCCACTTATATAATGTTTAAAAAAGCAGGCAAAACTAACATTTGGTGTTAGAACACTGGTTACAGGAAGATAATGACTGGTGGGAGGCCAATAATTTCTGGTTTCAATCTCAGTGCTATAGCAAGTGCTCAGTTTGTGAAAATTCAATAAGTTTTACATTTATGAGTTCTACATTTTTGTACATAAAAGTTCCACTTCAAAAACTTCAAAAGAAAAAAAAGGGAGAGAGGGCATGGCACACATCTAAAAAACGAGTAGAGAGAAGTTTTGTTATATTTGGAGGCACTATTAGTATCAATGAATGGTAAAATGTAATCTGATCTGCTCTGAACTATTTGAAACATATGTGAATAGAAAATTATTTTTTCCTAGTGACAGAGGAACATAGTACTGCTATCAAAATGGCAAATTACTCCATCATCCTTGAAATTCAGTGTCTGAAGTCTCTTTGAAGTCAGTTTCAAAGCATTGTACAATTTTTTATCTTAGAAATGTCATTTAAATTGCATTTTAAAATTCTTATTGACTAGAATTCTCTTGCTTCATATCTTCTGTCCCAAGCCAGCCATGGACTGTGTGTGTGAGCTACAAGCATTTGAGCACATGAGGGAACTGGACTGACATTGCTGCTCTGTCTGGGCTGTCGATGTATGTGTCTTTTTCACTTGCTCTGTCTTTGATCCCACACAGCACCTGAGATGGGTGGCTTTACATCACTGAACCCCAAGAAAATGATACTTTCTGTGCCTGTGTGATTTGTTCCTGCCAGCCCAATTCACCTGGAGTGACCCTGACTGATTTAGTTGCATGTCGCGGCAATCTTTCCTCCTAAATTCTGTTTCTCAGAGGCAAGGAA